ACAACATGTTAACTTTCACAAGACTTTGTAAGAAATACATTAAAATAAATCTTCTGGTGGAAAATTAAAACACTGCTGGCTGTTTCAGAAAACGGTCAGGCTCTTTAAACACTGTTTCCATTTATCTGACATCAATATAAACTTATTGGGGGAAACTGCAGCAGTTACACCCAGAGAATCAGAAAGTCGTGCTTTCCATTTGTGACCTTGTGATGACTTATTAGTGACAAACCCACAAAAACTTAAAAGAATAATAAAACCTCACTCCCCTCAGCTCCACAGCTACTTGTGGCATTTGTGTCAGATGGTGAAGAATGTAACAGACGGGTTCAAATACAAAGCCCTACCTGCCAGAGTGACAATGCAGAGTGTGCCAGAGTCCCCAGACTCCTTTTAAGCTTTGACAGCCTTTTTGTTCCCCCCTTGTTCGGTAAAACTGAAGCAACTCTTAATTACCTGATAACATGCCGTTCTTCATTTACTGTACTCCCTTTTTAGTGCAAGAAAATAGCCACGGTGGTGTTTATCCGTCATACCTTTAAAGCGGAGATGTCATACTTAAACACGAAACGCAAATCCATCTGCCATCATCGGTGCCATCACTGGAGTGCGTTGAAAAGCGGTGTGGACCTCCCGCGGCTGAAGCGACCCTCCCTCTGTGTCCCTGATCCACCCCCCACCCACACTCAACTTGTCACTTCTCTGACAGCTCGACAAACTATTTTTTTCCTCACGTTTTTTTTAATGCGGGCCTCGCAACCTCGTTCATGCACAAACTTCTCTCCGTGCCTGTTACTTTGCGCAAGGGAAACTTTTTTCTTTCTTGTTGTTAGTTTCTGGAGGAGGCTCGGAGTCGGAGAGATGAGGCTCGGTTAAACGGAGCTACCGCTCATTTCCAGCCATGACTGGGCTGTCACATTGCGTGACCATCCATGAGTGAATCCACAGAGTCATCAGCCTCTCCGGCCACACCACGCCCCTGCCAACCTCCCCAAAACCGTGCGCAAAAAGTTGCCAAAAGTTTAGAAACATTCCCAAATTATGACCCCCGGGTGCTAAAAATAGTAATAGTTACTCATTTTAGGAGGCAGGCAACATTAAATAGCCGCGAGGTCTTTAAAAGGCCGATCCTGTGGACACACTACAATCTGTCCAAGTCAAACGTTACTTAATAAAAACCTGATATGTGGTTATAAAGAGCAAAATGTGGAGGAGAAGACAGAGAGTGTAAGGCAAGACGATTCTCTCCCAGTGTGGGAAAAAAATTCCCCACTTATCCCATATTTCAGTAAAGTAAATAAAACTGCACATAAATGATAATGCACACAGGTCTGTTTTTACCGATTTATTTAAAAATTAAAAAAAAAAAAGTCTCATAGAGCAAAACAAGTTGAAGGATCAAAGTGCAAGTGAAATAATAATAATAAAAAAATGTCAGATTTAATCATTTCTTCTTAGAAAGCTGTTTGCTCATTAGTGTGCAGTTTGCTTTTAAAGGCAGACTAATAGAAACTGTATTATTAATAATAATAATAATAATAATAACAATAACAACATGTTGAAATAGGAATAATCAGGATTATCCCATAAAAACAAGAGGAAGTACATCGCTGTTAAAAAAAAAAAAGTAGCATCAGAAAATGTCATTAGGCTTGTTACAGAAAGCTAGAAGTCAAAGGTCAGTGCAGAGCAGGCACACAGACTAGTTTTGGTCCCAGCTGCATCACTTATGTAACATCAGTATACAGCTCACTGTGGTTTCTTTTTAATTATGGTGGAATCGACACGTCTAACCAACACTTTGGAACAGTCTGACTGATCCCGCTTGGCTATTCCTGGATGGAAGAAGGACAAAGACATTTTCACGGCCACGGTGCCTAGCAGTGATTAGTCTGGTGGCTAAAATAAGGCACATGCTGAAAGCTGATACAGCCAGCTGGGGTCAGTACACACTGCAAGAAAAACAATGCAAGTTCAAATAACACAGGAGCAGATCTGGGGCTGAGCGACTTCTGGTGTTTCCAAAAAAGCAGGATTGGAAGTCACAAGGTGAATGAGGAGGAACCCTATCTGAATGTGAAATGGTCAAAGTAAATTAAACCTACACCCTATAAACTTGAAAAACATGAAATCCTAACACCTAAAAGAGTACACAGTATCATGACTCCTGTGTCACGTCACTGGTTTCAGCCTTCTTTTACATTAGATCCAGTCTGGAATTCAGTTTCACAGAAAATAATTCACATGTGTGCAGCATGATCTGTTCAGGGGGATTCTTGAACTTGCTGGCAGTATATGAAAAACCATCTGATACAGTACAAACATATACGTTCTTCATATTTTTGAATGAAATGGTATGCACGTGTGAAATTTTTTGTCGTCTAACACATGTAAAGAAACATTTACAACCCCCCCCCCCCCCCCCACAAAAAAAGAACCTATGAAGTTGATCAAACAGCGAAGATCAGTGATTTCATTCTAAAACAGAAAAATCAGACTTGTTCATTAAGCGTAATCACATCAGGTACTGTGAACTTAAAATCAATCTCATCAGCTAAAAGCTAAACATACTCTGCTTCTCTTCTCAAAACTTCATTTGTTCTCCTCGGATAAATCGATCACTCAGGCTGTTGTGAAGGCGTTTGTGCTCGTTAAGGGTCCACTGTCACCACTAGATGTCAGTGTAGGCTCATTTTTCAGGCAGATTTCGCCACGTTCAAGCAAATTTCAACTGTGGACAGTAAAATGGTTGCAACCACTCAGTGTTTGACACTTGTTTTACTCTTTACGTTACTATCTGGCAATGTGTTTGTTCGGAGAACTCAGTCAGGTCTTTACAGTCAACCCCAACTATACAGATCCAAAGCTGTTTCACTATCTCGTGAGACAAATCCCAGTAACCAAGACGTAGACACAACTCGTGAGGTTGGATTTACAGTATACACCTTTCTCTTGTCTCTAACACATGGTCTTGTTGCTGGATGAATCTGTGGAAGAAGACAGCAGCATTTCATTCTTCTTGTTATCCCGTGTCACGCTGTCTGGGTAAGTGTGTTTCCTCCTGCTGGACCTTGTCATGCATCTCATGACCGCCTTTACAATGAGGTAGAAGAGCTCGGCCACATTCAGCACCATGCAGATGGCAGATGAAGCCACCATGAAGATGGTGAAGACGGTCTTTTCAGTTGGCCTGGAGATGAAACAGTCCACCTTGTTGGGGCAAGGCCACTGCTCGCACTTCACCAGCCGGGGCATCTGGAAGCCGTCGTAGACAAAGTAGAGCGCATACATAAACCCCCCCTCAAAGATGAGCCGGAAAAACAAGCTGCAGGTGTAGGTCCACCACAGAGTGCCTGTAATGGGCAGACGCCTCCTCTTTAGCGTCTGCAGCTCAGTATCTGTCATCTTTTCAGTGCCATTGGAGGCCAGCATGTTCCTCTTATCACCCCGTTTTCTGTAGGCGACGTGCATGGCCACCAGCAGGGCCGGCGTGGATACAAAGATCAGCTGCAGGCACCACAGGCGGATGTGCGACACGGGGAAGAAGTGGTCGTAGCAGACGTTTTTGCAGCCGGGCTGCTGCGTGTTGCACGTAAAGTCTGACTGCTCGTCCCCCCAGACGCTCTCCGCAGCCAGGACCAGAATCGTGATGCGGAAGATGAAAAGGACAGAAAGCCAGATCTTCCCCAGGCTGGTGGAGTGCTTGTTGACGCCACCTAGCTGGGCGTAGAGAGCCCCCCAACTCATTGCGGCCAAAAGGAGTCCGGAAGCTGAGACAACCTGTGGAATTCAGCAGAAAGTTAAAAGGCTAGAAAAGTGCTGGAGAAATACACCTGCTGGAGGCCTTGTTTTATGGCATATTTATGTTGTTAAAAAGGTGCGAGTGTGTGTGTAATTAGAAAATTATCATTATTTTTCAGATGCATATATTGTGGATGACTTGTGGGATTTTAAAATAATTTTTAAAGGGCTGAAAGGTTACATTTCTGGCTACACATGACAAGGTGTATAACAGAGTTGGCATTACAGAGTCAAAAAGCGGACGGGAAAGCAAACTGTATGGATCTATGGTTTTAATGCAAATAAAGGGCATTTTAGCAGCCAAATAATGTTGCAAGCAAAATGAAAAAATATGTATTTGTAGTTTTAAAAAAATAATATTTTTTCCACAAAAATCTAAAAATACACAACCACTCGTTTCCCTGAAAATAAGAGCCTCAAACTCATTCTGACAGTATACAGAAAAGTATTGGGAAGACCAGCGTCTACCTCAGACCAACGTCTGCCAGCTTAAACCAACTGCACTCAGACTGAAGGGGCCCACAGGTTAAATAAGCAGCTGCATTCAAGGAGCTAACACTTTAAAATATCTAAATTCGACACATTATTTCTAAAATATATTTTCACTTTTTTGTGGTGGCATTAGCAGATCGAATTGAAATTAAACTCACCTGTTTTTGTGGAGTTTATCCTAAACAGATTTTTTTAAGCTTCCAACAAGCTGGGGAAACAATCAGTCCTGTTCTCTTCTGTGTGTCTCAGTAGAATCGGTTTGGGACAGACTCGACTTGTCTTGTCTATAAGTAGTGAGTGAGGCGCACACCGATTATCCATCATCCCTCCTGCAAACTGGGAGGGAGGGGCCAAGCTCGAGGTGGGGCCAACCAGCAGGGTTATTAGTCTCTAATTAAATTTTACGCAGGCATTTAATGTTAATGTGACTTCACCTAATAATAACAAAAGGGAGCCCTCCGCCGCCCACACACACATACATATAAAATATTTACAATATAAATACAATATTTCAGTTTATAGAGCCACAAACCTGCACTAGAACACCCAGAGTGTGATGTATGGTTGTCACTATTGGACCTATATCAGTGTGAAATTTAAATCTTTCACAGCCCTCCTGATGTGTTTCCTTATGATTTGGGAACTTACCCGTCACAATTATGCGAGCACATGGTGGCAGTCAGCAGAGAGCACTCAGCCCAGAAATATGTAGTGAAATGTCATTATTTAATTTCTCCTCATTATCAGGATCACAAAAACACTCATCTCTTTCTGTTGTGTGGCTATCAAAACAATTACATAAATGCGTTATTGTGTTCTTTTTTATTAATCAAAACACTGATTCACATTTTCAAGAAATTTGTTTACACAAGAGACCATTAATGTGGCTGAATGAGATCATTGTTTTTCACATTTTACCACAGTCGGTTTTGTAACCAAGATGTAGAGTAAAAGTTAAAACGTGCTGTAGATTTAGAAAAAACAAAAGACCGGTTAAAATTGTATTCATAAGGAGTAGCAATCCAGAGTTATGTTCTAATACTGCTAGTACTCATCATATAAGGAAGATTGATCATTACTCATTTTAAAAAAGTGCTGCTTTTCAGTCAAGGTATGCCTGTTTAAAGAAAAAAAGGTCTTCATTACATGTTGAACTCAACAATCACATTTCTACCTAATTAAGTTGTTTTTCTTGAGTTTGGACCCTGAGCTTATTAGTCCTTCTTCAGCTTGGCCAGACGCATGAGGAACTGGTCCCTCCTCTCCTGCCTGGCTGCCAGATGCTGCTGGTCACAGGGAATGAGCTCGTACATCTCCTGTGGACGGCACAGAAGGAAAAGCTAGGTGAGCAAAGTGGAATGGTTGCTATCTAGGACTTCGGACATGTCTAGTGGGGGAAATAACTATTTTCTCAGTTGCTGAATTTGTACGTTTGCTCACTGAGAAAAAATGAACAGTCTCTAATTTTTAACAGTAGGTTCATTTTAAAATAAAGCTTCTCAGCCGTAAAGCTAAACTAAATATCCTTTTGGGGCGATCGTGGCTCAATAGCTGGCAGTTCGTCTTGTAATCGGAAGGTTGCCGGTTCGAGCCCCGGCTCCGACAGTCTCGGTCGTTGTGTCCTTGGGCAAGACACTTCACCCGTTGCCCACTGGTGGTAGTCAGAGGGCCCGGTGGCGCTAGTGTCCGGCAGCCTCGCCTCTGTCAGTGCGCCCCGGGATGGCTGTGGCTACAATGTAGCTTGCCATCACCAGTGTGTGAATGTGTGTGTGAACGGGTGGATGACTGAATGTGTAAAGTGCTTTGGGGTCCTTAGGGACTAGTAAAGCGCTATACAAATACGGGCCATTTATCATAATCTTTTAATAACGTCTTAGCTTTGAAACAGTGACATCCAGGGCCGACACTTGCACAGATCAATGTGCATGCAGTGCTGCCCTTGTTCTCGTGATCACAGAAGGCAAACGAGTCCACCTTAAACTATTTAATGCTCCAGCTCAGGGTGTCCTTACAAGATGACCTTCTGTGGCTAACATATTAACCGCCTGTGACAGCATGTGACCAATTAATTTCTACTTAGGAGAAAGCTTTATGGCTCAGAGGTGAGTAGAAACTGCTGAATTTCAGTCATCCAGAACTAAACACACAATAAATAATGAAGAAAATAATAAATTAAGATATGTATATTAATATAGACATTCCGTGTCTTTGATCTGAATTAACACACATTTTTTTATTTATTTAAAAAAATCTTGGGAGCCTATTGAATACTGAATTGCTCTTTGGGGGCTCAGGTGGCACTTTATTAAAACACTGCAAGGTCTCAAGAACACCCCTGAAAAACAAGGACCCTCTTTTTCACTGTATCGAAACACTAACCAGATATTATGGTCCATACTGACATGACAGCATCACACAATTACTGCAGATTGTCAGCAGCACATCTATCTATGTCCCCTTTTACCACATCCCACAGGTCTTCTCTTGGATTGAGATCTGGTGACTGTGGAGGTCATTTAAGCACAGTGAACTCAATGTCATGTTCAAGAAACCAGCTTGAGATGATCTGAGCTTTGTGATATGCTGGAAAACCAAATTCTGATGCTGCAGCACGCAAAATCCAGAAATTTAGACAGCTTCTCTGGTCCAAGGTGGAAAAGTGCTCCTTGAACCAAAAACTGAAATACTTTTTGGAAATCACAGACACTAAATTCTGTGTAGCTACAGAGAAAAATAACAATTTAAGAAGACACACATAATCAAAACCTGTTGGTGTGCATAACATCTGTGAAGGCACCATTAATGCTTAATGATACATACAGATAATGGAGAAACATTTCCTGCCATTCACATGTCGTTTGCATCAAATGTCTTGCTTTGCTTATTTATCATATATATATATATATATATATATATATATATATATATATATATATATATATATATATATATATATATATGTACACTACATCATAAGTGAGTGTATTTATTGAGAGAAAGTTTCACTGTAAACACAACTCTGTAACCATCACACTTACATTAATGACGCTCTTGGCTGCTTCACCACAGAAGTCCGGCACAGGCCCAAAGGAAGACAGAATCCTTGTTATATTTTCACTATATCGGCTCATGTAGTCTTCCAAACCTGTGGGGAGGACACAGCTGTTCAGTGATGGGGAAGTCCATGTCGATCATCATTCCAAACAATGAATGTAGATCATCTTTATTTAAAATACCACAAAGATTCAAAGACAGTAATGTCACACAAAGTGAAAGTGATGTAATTGCAAACAGAAAAAGAAACATGTATTTCTAGATTGTGAGGGGATGGGCATAGGTGCGGCTGCGGTGCCAACTGGCAATTTGTTTTTGTCTAAATGCTTTCCTTCTGCTGGTTTGAACGTTTGACACATGCTTGATATTTTGAGAAATGGCACATGCTAGCTCCTCTATATTTCGTTAGCTTCATAGCATAATTGCCTAAGTCATTTGACTAAGTCAATGACTTAGGCACTTATGCTATGAAGCTAACGATTTCTGTGTTCATTTGCAGGGCTGCTATCTCAGTGCTTCAGAACCAGTAATATTAAGTAATGAGTTTCCTCTTTCTCAATGTTAAATATCTCATAAATAACAGTTAGATCCTGCTTTGACACTTTCTGTGTTAATTTAACTTTTAGCGCTGTTCATTGAAGCTGTTCTCTCATTTATTAACCTATAGTGACTCATTTGTGATGTAGGCAGACTGCATTTTGGCTAATCACTGACTGACTTGTCGTGAAAGTTTAAAATAAATGGGTTTGTGAAGCCTGCTACTACAAGCTTCAGTTTAATAGTGTATTTATAAGGACTGGGTAGTATCCAGTATGCTACATGTATGTATATGCCAGTGGAAATGTCTAACACCAGCCCCTTGTTGAGCGTTATTACACGTTGTTGTTTAAAGTGGATTGCTATGCTCATTTGCAGCTCCATAATCTTATTCTTGGACTCTATTAGAACAGCTTTGCATGATTCACAGTTCTAAATAATGCTATTTTACTAGGCCTTGGTGCACTTGAGGTTCAGCCAATGTGAGAAATAATCTATTTAACCTCATTTCCACCTCCCTTTAAGCTTTCTTCTGATTGAAGATCAGAAGATTTACTGAGTGAGGTTTCTGTGCTTAAAGCCTGTAAAAATCTACGAAACAAAGCACTCAGGGCAATAGCGAACGTTTAGTAGCTACTAAGTGTGATGATGAAAGTTCTGGACAGAGAAACAGAAAAGTTTGCAGGTTTTGTAAGGGACGTTTCGTACTTCAACTATACATTACTACTCACAGAAGTAATAAAATGGGGGAGCTATATAATTAAGATCCCTATATCTAACTAGGGTTAGAATAATTAATAAAATATTGTCATTACAATAAAAAAATGTGGGATGTGACTAATGCCTGAGACCAAGAGGTTATGCAGTATGAAAATCATACCATGTATATGAAATGGGAAGCAGTATTCACTGCCCTCTAAATAACATGTCATTAATGTATATAATGCTACTACCTATAATAGTTTAAAGAGATCTTGGATTTATTTTTCTATAAACTGACAGTTTGTACAATTTCACTGCTACTCTCTCCTAAAATACCAGCAGGCATTATTTCTAATAAGAGTTCATGTCATGAGCTTGCTGGGTTATCTAGCTTGCAACCAAATGTTTGTGGATAAAATATATAGTAGTGTGTCCTAGATTGGACGCAGAAAAAGGAGCACCTCTCACAGCTAATGATCAATCAAAGAGGAAACACAGGTCCCATAACAATGACAACAACCGGGCTTAACATATCATAAAGAGGGCCAGCAGTATGGTTTGTTGACATTCCTGTGATAAGCGTAGTAGGTGAATAGGTGAAGACTAGAGTTTTAAAACCTTATTTGAGCAGAGAGATGCAAGTGTGGTGCAAGGTGGGGGGGGGGGGAGAAGAGATGTGCCTACATTACTTCACATGAGGTTGTTATTAAGGTGGATCAGGGGGCTCAGTTTTAAATAGTTCTTTCAACACATTTTCAAAGAGTGGAGCCTTATTCAACGACCAGAAAACATATGGTGAATGTTTATATTTGCAATACTTCTTTGGGAAATAAGGTTTATATCCAACATGTGACAACGGGGTAGCTAGAAAACGCTTACTGTCTACATAAAGCCTAGTGGGACACGTTAATGTGGCACGACAGTGTGATAACTATCATCTACCTTCAACCAAACACCCTCTGTGGGAGGAAAATCTTAGTGTTATTTCAGTCCCTTTGCTTTATTTCTTTTCCCAAATAAGCTTTAGCTGTTATTGTTGAATTTTTTCTTATATATCTTTTTATGTAAAGCCTCACTAAACAGGGAGCCCTATTCCCTGTGCCCCTACACAACGGCTAATTGTACAGTAGAAGAAAAGACGGGACACTAATGTTACCACTGTAACTCCAATCAGATAACAGCAGCAGTCCTTGAAAATGAAGCAAACTACCCCATATGGAAAAGATATATATAAATCTTATAAAGTTTGTAACTGTCTTGTATGAAACTTGTATGAAAAGCATACAAGAGTGAAAACAGATATAAGATCCCTTGAAAAATTATATAATCAAACTTGTATGTTTTGGATACTTACTAAAAAATATATGAAAGTAATGAGAAAGTGGCCACTTTCATGAGTAAATCATATATGTTTTTACTATTCCTTTTCCATATGGGACATAACATCACCCAGTTTGCAACTTGTCTTCCACCCATTTGCGGTACCTACCACTGCTAGCTGTACTTTTACACTAATGAAACAATTTGTGCATGGTCAGCTGAATGTTGGACAAGCTGCCCTTACTAGATAGTGTTTTAAAAAGACATCATTCTAATGCTCTTTTCTGTGAAATTGCATTAATATTTGAATACATCATATGCATCGATGAGCCATTCTTCTGCAGGCAGTGGTTTTAGTTGTAGTGGATGATTCCTTCAAAGAACAACGGCATCTCCTGTGTGCACGCACACAGTTTACAAAAGCAAGGAAATTTAGGTAGCGCAGACAGAGACAGGGAGCCTGAGTGCTCCAGTATCTGATGGGACTGATCTAAAGACTTGAAGACACAACAGGGGTAGGTCTGAGCATTCTTTTGAGAATCTGATGCTTCCTGAACAGAAAAAAAGTCAGTAAGAAGTTCAGTACTGTAACTACAGGTAGAGCTGGCACCTGGTCTGAAGGCTGCGAGGTGAGCTCTGTGAGTTTTGGATGACTGGTGTGAGGGAGCGCATTCATCGCTACCCATCAAAAGACTGCTTTGTTCAGCCAAAGTGCACACTGTGTGTGTGTGTGTGTGTGTGTGTGTGTGTGTGTGTGTGTGTGTACACAGTCAGGGTTACTCTGGGTTTCACACTCACCTCTGATATTCTCCATCTAGCTGAGGTTTCATTCTCTCTCTGACACACAAAGAGATGTCACTGTGTGGTACACTACATGTATTTTGTGCAGCGACACGTATGAAACGCTGTGCCACTTTGAAAATTTCATGTAAGCGGTGAATTACCTTCATTACTCTCAGTCAAAGGCATTCTGTGCTCATTTACTGCAGTCGCTGATGCTCAAAAGCCTGTGCTTTGGTTAGTTCCAGTAATTTTCCACAGCATACATGGCTTGTACATTCACTCTGATTGGCAGATTGGCTGACCTGACTGGCTACCTCCCTGGGCTTTTTTAGGGGGGAGGTAACAATGTTTAAAATAATAACAATAATAATATTTATATTTATAACAAGGTGCAATAATAATTAATGTGCAATAATAACAGTGTGCAATACACATACACTTATTCTTCTTTTTTATACTAAGTTAATATACTGTGTTGTGTTGTTTGTTGCGTTGTGATGTGTCATATCGTGTCGTGTTGTGTTATATGTAGTGCCGACGTAGGACAGTTTTCCAATTTCCTTGTACTACTGTACTATGTATGACTGTGCAATGACAATAAAGAGTTATCTTATCTTATCTTATCTTATCTTATCTTATCTTATCTTATCTTAATTGAAACTGGACACCGCACAGTTGAAACTGTGCTGGATAAATGATACTTTCCTCTTCATAAACAGACATTTTATGAACTCCTTTTCCCTTATGAAGAAAGGCTTTTTGGTAAAAATGAATGATTTTGCTGTGAGAATTGAACAGAACAAACACATCATCAACTCTTTGGTTCAACTATATAAAATTCATGCTCAAAGTATCTTAAACTCAGTTAAAAAATAACCAGAATTAGTGTTTTTATATGTGAGCAAAGAATACAAACCAGGAAATTTTACCTTTAGGTGCATTGAGGTGCATTGTTTCCATGGGACCTATGAAGGCGTAACGCATTCCTAGTCCCTCTGACATCACCAGGTCGATGTCCTTTACCGAGATAACACCATCCTAATGACGCAAGTTAGAAAAACAACAGTTACATTAATTTCACTGAATCGACTGATAATATTCATTCGTTTTGTACCCTTTGTTTTCTGGATATATTTGCTGATGAACTGATCCCAGAACAGCAGCTCTGGAGTCAAACTGTTTCTTTGTCTGTATCTGTTTATCTGTAATGAGAGTTCACACATCTAGCAGGTCAACTTTGAGCCACATGTTAAGTATTTTCTCTTACTGAGTTCATCATGGTCATGGTTACCTAACAGACTGCGGGACAGTTAAGTATATACGAAGGACACACACTTTTCCCTAGCAATTCAACAAAGTCATGACTTTTTAACTCCCTATTATTCTGGAAAACCCAAATTCCCTTTGATCCCATCAGGCCACTCCAGCTATATAAAGTTTCCTTATTCAGCCAATCCTGTGTCCTCAGGATTGTGCACAGAGGGGAAGCTGGCTGAGAATGGGTCAGGTAACTTTGGTTTACAGATACCTGTTGGCCAACCATGGAGGAAATCAAAGCCCAGATACAGAGACTATGGTGAGCAAGAGGAGAGGCGACAGGGTTGTCTTTGTTTGGGTCCTGCGTCCAACAACGAGCCTGTTATCTGAGCAAAGTGGGATGGTGGGTGGGGTCTTCTCTCCACTGTAATCACTGGGGGCTACGAGCTGCTTTCTCAGCCACTCTGCTTTCCAGCTCTGGCCTCGACTCAAGGACTTCTTTTCTTTTTCTCTCTCTCTCGTTGTGTGTGTGTTTGTGTGTGTGTTTGCAAAGGTTGAGGGCAGGTCCCTGTTATGTAAGAAAGATCACAAGACCACTGTCAGGCCAAAGGCTTTGATGCTTAATGCTGAACTTCTGTACAGCTTTGATTTATTGAGGAAGAATACAGTAAATAGATATTTTTTACACATTAAGTAGAACACCTGATGAAGTCCCTGCTTTGAAACATCAAACTGAGCTGTTTTGTGTGCGTGTGCATGTAACTTGGTAGAAACTGTGTTTATTTTAGTGAATGGTTATAAAAGAAAAACAGTACTATAAGTGGAGGAGATTAGTTGTGTTGCTGACATTTGTGGGAAAATATCCATTACATGCTCGAATTTTATTTTCAATAAACAGATGATGCTACAGGGCCATACAAATGTTAAATGATCATATGTTTCAAAGAACTACATCTGATCCTTAAATTAATGATAACTTATAAGGCGTACAACATATACAATTGGTCTCTAGCCACATACATTAAAATGCAATTAGGCGAAACGGTGACGTCCATCTCGGCCACATTATTCAAGACATTGGTGCACGAAACAGCTTCCCCAAACTGGCACCTGCTCCAATGTATTTTGTAATGAAATAAACTATTAGAATACATCAATTTGTTGTAAGTGATTACCTGCTCTGTCCTGCTATGTACATGTACGTGTACTGCAGGAACTTTGAGTAATTGTCTCATCAAATACCATTCATGTTTGGTGATTTGTATGTCACATCGTTTAGTTAAGTATAACAGTGCCTTAGGTGAGTGATAAACACTCCCAAACGACTGTAGACGTCACAACTCATTATTTTTGTCGAGCAGTATTGTGGATGGCGTGCCTCTGATGCATGGCGTAAAGGAACGTTTTGGTGCAGCCAGCAGCAATTACAGAGGTGGATTCACTATTTCAGGTAAGCAAAGGTTTCTCATGTAGTAATGACATTTTAAAGGCACTTAAATTGTATTAAAAGAATTATACGTTTTTGCAGTTGAGTTTCAGGCTGTTGAAAAATGTATGGTACCTATATGAAAATCCTAGGTGATGTCTTTCTCAAATTATCATGTTCACAAGATTTTCAGAAAACTTGACCTCTGACATCTAGGTCACTGATATTCAAACTACCTCGTTCAAGATCTTAACCTAGGTTGGACGAGATAGACCACGCCTACTAAAATAAGCTGGGTGTCCATGATGCTCACCCATCAGCAGGGTGAAGACAAAACCCTGAGCATTGACTGTGACTGCAAAATAAGCCCTCCATCACCGTGCTTGACAGCTGCTGTCAAGTAACCATCACAGTGGCAGATATCCAAGAAAGGGTCTCCAGTATGAAGAGTTGGACAGCACCAGGGCCACACATGGTTCACGCCTACTGGCTGAAGAAGCTGACTGCACTCCACGAGCGTCTGGCAGCACAAATGAACCAGCTGCTAGTTAACGAGAGACACCCGGAATGGCTAACTGAAGGCCGGACGGTCCTGATCCCCAAGGACCCCAAGAAGGGACCGGTCCCCTCCAACTACCGACCAATAACCTGCCTCAGTACTACATGGAAGCTCCTGTCAGGCATCATATCGGCTAAGATGAACAGGCACATGGGTCAATACATGAGCGGGACACAGAAAGGAATTGGCAAGAATACCAGAGGCGCAAAACACCAGCTACTGGTAGACAGAACAATCAGCCGAGACTGCAAGACCAGACTGACCAACCTGTGCACGGCCTGGATTGATTACAAGAAGGCCTATGACTCAATGCCCCACAGCTGGATACTGGAATGCTTAGAATTGTACAAGATCAACAGGACCCTAAGAGCCTTCATCAGGAACTCAATGGGGATGTGGCGTACAACACTAGAGGCCAACTCCAAGCCCATAGCACAAGTCACCATCAAGTGCGGGATCTACCAAGGAGATGCTCTGTCCCCACTGCTGTTCTGCATAGGCCTGAACCCCCTCAGTGAGATCATTAACAAGACTGGCTACGGATACCGACTACAGAACGGAGCAGTTGTCAGCCACCTCCTGTACATGGATGACACCAAGCTGTATGCCAAGAGTGAATGAGACATCGATTCACTGATCCACACTACCAGGCTATACAGCAATGACATTGGAATGTCGTTCGGACTGGAGAAGTGTAGTCGGATGGTAACAAAGAGAGGGAAGGTAGTCAGAACTGAGGGGATTGAACTACCAGAAGGCAACATTGCAGACATAGAGGACAGTTACAAGTACTTGGGGATCCCACAGGCGAATGGGAACCATGAAGAGGCTGCTAGAAAAGCTGCAACCACCAAGTACCTGCAGAGGGTCAGGCAAGTCCTGAGGAGTCAGCTGAATGGTAAGAACAAGATCCGGGCCATCAACACGTACGCCCTGCCCGTGATCAGGTACCCTGCTGGGGTAATAGGCTGGCCAAAGGAGGAGATAGAAGCCACTGACATAAAGACAAGAAAGCTCCTTACCATGCATGGAGGGTTTCACCCCAAATCCAGCACCCTGAGGCTGTACGCTAAGCGGAAGGAAGGGGGCCGGGGACTGGTGAGTGTCAGCACCACAGTCCAGGATGAGACAACGAACATCCAAGAATACATTAGGAAGATGGCCCCAACTGACCGAGTGCTCAGTGAATACCTCAGGCAGCAGAAACCCAAGAAAGAGGAGGGAGACGAGGAACCATCATGGAAGGACAGGCCCTGCACGGTATGTACCACCGGCAGATAGAGGAGGTGGCTGATATCCAGAAATCCTACCAGTGGCTGGACAAAGCTGGACTGAAAGACAGCACAGAGGCACTAATCATGGCAGCACAAGAACAAGCTCTGAGCACAAGATCCATAGAGGCTGGGGTCTATCACACCAGGCAAGACCCCAGGTGCAGGCTGTGTAAAGATGCCCCAGAGACAATCCAGCACATAACAGCAGGGTGCAAGATGCTAGCAGGCAAGGCATACATGGAACGCCATAACCAAGTGGCCGGCATAGTGTACAGGAACATCTGTGCCGAGTATAACCTGGAAGTCCCGAGGTCAAAATGGGAGATGCCCCCAAGGGTGGTGGAGAATGACCGAGCTAAGATCCTGTGGGACTTCCAGATACAGACGGACAAAATGGTGGTGGCTAACCAACCGGACATAGTGGTGGTAGACAAACAGAAGAAGACGGCCGTAGTGATCGATGTAGCGGTTCCGAATGACAGCAATATCAGGAAGAAGGAACACGAGAAGCTGGAGAAATACCAAGGGCTCAGAGAAGAGCTCGAGAGGATGTGGAGGGTGAAGGTAACAGTGGTCCCCGTGGTAATCGGAGCACTAGGTGCGGTGACTCCCAAGCTAGGCGAGTGGCTCCAGCAGATCCCAGGAACAACATCGGAGATCTCTGTCCAGAAGAGCGCAGTCCTGGGAACAGCTAAGATACTGCGCAGGACCCTCAAGCTCCCAGGCCTCTGGTAGAGGACCCGAGCTTGAAGGATAAACCGCCCGCAGGGGCGTGCTGGGTGTTTTTATATATATATATATCAATCACCTGGATCACCTGTTGAGAGAGAAAAAAGAAAAGAAAAGAAGCAAGAAAGAGAGCAATATAATAAACAACATCATCGCGATAATCCATGTGTATATAACAGTAAATACTAAATATTGTATATTATTGTGCAGCATGTAAGATCGACAGCGCACAGTGTGCTTTGAGGTAGGAGCCAAAAAGGGTGTAGTTTGTGTCTGTGAGCACCCGTGTGTAAACCTGTGAGCATGAACGCGCTTGTATTCAAACAGTTCCTTCATGTAACGATCTGCTAGAGGGTGTGGGGAGCCACAGCCCCGTCCTCCAGGGCATGAAGCAGGTATGGAGGAGATCCAGGCTCCAGACATCCAGAAACCCTCAGAGTGCAAGAGTCCAAGGAAAACCAACAGAGGGGCAACCATGCCACTCTCCCGGAAAGAGCTGAGGAGAGCCCCAAATGAGGGGTCACCCAGCAGCCGCGGAGCAGAAGCCAGAGGGGGTTGCAGTAACGTGCCCGTGAGCTCCGCCGGCATCCAGCTGTGCCAGAGTGACCGAGCCCCAGGCCCAGAGGCCGAGGGCACCCCACCCCCCGAAGGGGCCCGACCGACCCACAGGTGCCAGGTCCTGACAAGCAGCCACCGGGAGTGTCCCGGTGCATACCTGAGCGCGCAGCCCTGGACGCCAAGAACCAAAAATGCACCAATGTCTGAGGGCGTCAGGGGGAGTGGTGGGGGGAGATAGGCCTCCATAGAGCAACACCTTTAACAGCAGTGTGGCATTTTTGTCAGCTAAGGTCTAAGGGTGCCCTTGGGGTGGGGAGGTGGGGAATTCGCCTCTCACACGGTGGTGATGTGCACACAATAAAGAATATCATTTAGGTACAAGTCTGAGCTGCCACAGTTCTGTGTAAAATTATGAACTTCACATGCTTCGTTACAGATGTTGCAATACAGCTGGCACAGAGGCACAAGAGTGGCTTCTGCTGCATTTCGTGGAAGTATGACTTGGAGGTTTTAATTCTGAGAATACGTTATTCTCAGCAGGGAGTGTCACGGTCTTGGGCTTAAAAATGACTGAACAATCAAGGGTTTTTACCTGCCTGCAGGCCCTCTTGGATCATTGCTGAACCAAAAAGCTACCGTCAAAGCAAGAAAAACAATCCAAACACTTAAGAGCTTCTCAAAGTCTAAAGCTGTGACAAACAACGAGCTCTGTTGTGAGGCAAATCATGAAGCCTGCTTCTCTTCCTGATATGTAAAACCTCAAAAATGACAAATAAACATAGTAATGGCACGGAAATTGAAGAAAGCAGTTACAGCTTTTCAAAACCACACAAGGCTAGCCACCATGATTGAAGCGTTGGGGGGGCTGTGAGTACTCAGACTGTTCCTATGGAAGCAATATGTGAAAGGTCTTGGAGAAGCTCACGGCTCTTCAACGGGAAATTGATACACCTCCGGACCAGTAATGGACATTAAGACCTGCTCCCCCCCTCTCAGCGGTGCCAGCTGGACGATGTTGACAAGAACAACAAAAAATTCTACCCTGACTCTCTCGCCCAGATTCCTCAAGGCCATCTGCGTAGGCTGTGGACTGTTTATATTTGCTTAATTGGGCAAAACGACACTTTCTGAAGGCTGAACACAGGACACACATCCTCACACGCATGCACACATGTACACTGACACAGATACACACTCACACCCCCTCCACGAATCCAACACCTGCCATCCGATGCAGACGGCGGATCAGCTTTGGATGCGCAGAGTTGCGGCGTCCCGGACACAGTTTCTTTTTCCTTCTCGACTGCCCTTTTGTGTTATGCATTTCATTGTTTTCTTTATGCTGCCTGTTCTGACCTGTCTCCCCAATGTGATGTTTGTGTATTGTATGTATGGTCGGAAAGGTCCAATTTCGCTGCAGGTCAACTGCAAGCGACAAATAAAGGCAATCAATCAATCAATCAGTCCAGTCTTGCACAGACTATTAGTGTACCCATTTAAATAACTGGTAATATCTGGCAACAACATAAAATGAAACCAATTTCGTGCAGACTCAAAATAAACAAGCACACACTTTTTCATCTACGTTACCAGTAAACTGCAATCAACTGATGTTTTTCGAGCATACAAATGCACAAGACAGATCAGTCCTACGAATTTACTAAAGAAGACATTTTTCCTAATGCATTTATCCTTCATTAATGTCATAGAGACGTCTTTCTCAAGTGTACAAATCTGAATCATGTGCAAAGTCACGCAAGTAACTTAAAATAGATTTCTGCTCTTTCTGAGCCAGCTTTTAATAATCCATCCAATCCCTGCTATACAAAGCAAAATGTGATTATCCAGTTTCCTTTTACCCATTTCAGCTGTATGGCAACTCATTTTTATTTAGTTGCAACCAGTTGAGTAACTACTGCCATGTCTCCTGTATATCTCCTAATGGGTTGTAGCTTTAAATCTATGCTAATGCGCCTACTCACCTGTCAGGAACAGGTCTGTGAGCAACAATGCAGAGCGGCTGTTAATTTCTGCTGATTTCCATTGATGACAGCTTAAACATGTCCAACAGCTATCTTAGGAAGTCGGTTCTAATGTCATTCATGTATCACTTTGAGTGAAAGCCTGAATTGCATTTAGTTGCATTAATGGATCTAACACAAGATGACTGATGTGCATCTTTTAAGTTCCTCAGCTCAAACACTGTCTGACATCATCGTTTTCTAGCTAATGCGGGCCTGCTCAGCTGCTTTACTTTACTAGAAAACAGTTTTTATGTAAATATCTAACTGACCTTAAACCTAAATCATCTACCCGGAATGTAGTTTTATTTGTCACTTCAGCCATGGGTGGCATGGTGGTGTAGTGGTTAGCACCCCCCTGTCATCATTGCTGTGGCTGCGTGGGCTTCTGTCAGGTACTCTGATTTCCTCCAACAGTCTAACGACATACATGTTAGTTGACTGGTGATCTAACTTGGCCTTGAAAGCGAGGAAGATAAAATAGTTGAAGTGCAAAGAATGAAGTGCTTTGAGTAAGACTGGAAAGGCACTAATAAATCTAAGCACAGATTCAGTCCTTTACTAAGGACACCTTTACTACAACAACAGTCACTGACATAAAAAACAAAAGCGAGAAACTTGGAACAGACAATCGTGGAAGACGTGTGAAAGTTCAGAACTATGTGGAAGCATCTGATGTTGCATTATTTAATGGAGGGGGTCATTTAAGGTGCTTCTGATGTCTGTGGTTCTATATTTGAAGCCAACATCAAACTCTTCATGGGAATTCAGTTCGGGTAACACAGTATACGTCTCAAGTTAACATTCCATCAGCC